CCCTGCCATCAAAATGGTAGCTTTAATAAATCCTACAATTAATTAATGCTTTAAAAACAAATTAGAGCTCGGCGTCACGATTATTATTAGCAAACCTAATAAGTGGTGGAAATAAACGATGGAATTTTCGATAACAATAGCCCAGCGGGAAATTCGCCTCGCAAGTAGCTAGGAAACAAGAGCAAACAACGGCTTATCTGATGGATGGCTCGCGTACGCATGCAACGGTTTCGAAGTTGTGTCGACCTTGCGTAATACCTTGGTATCGAAAACAAATAGCCTTTATCAAGATGCATACGCACATATTGTAACGCAGCTAGTCACCTCCACCTGTCAGTCCTCTCTTCTTAATTAAAGGGGCGAAAATAGAAATTATATATTTCGATTAATAAAGCACAAACAGGCACGTTGCAGGCTTAATTGGTTTTTGGGTAAATTGATTAAAGGTTCTTGATAGTATTGTTACTTGCCAGCCTATACTTGCAAGCCTATATGTTGTATGGCCGATCAAGGTGCAGTGACAAAAATCAAGTAACAAATTTCAAACGAACTGAAGGGAAAAATAGCATTAATCTTAGCTCACTTCTTTGTACGATCGTGTTGGGGGCCATCAGTTCTCTGTCGCTAGTGTACCCTGGGTGGCCGGGTCTTCGCAATTCAGTTCCAAAAATATAATTCAAATCTAGTCTCCGAATTATCAAACCGAGGGGCAATTCATTCACTCTTGAAAATAGCGTACGAGATTTTCCCTAAAACAAAAGGATTTCTGGGGATTTTAAGATAAAACAATAGGATTTTCACAAAAGGTGTACGAGATTTTCTTGGAGTGATTTGCCCCTCGTATCAAACTCCGTCTTCGCATCAGTTTAGAATGCCGCTTCTAGGGTTACCAAACGCGCTGGTATGTGACGTTTGCGGAATTTTTTGATAGCGTAGCGTGGTACACGTGCTTACTTACAAGAACCTTGGGTATATCACATTAGAAGACTATGAGAGCCATTGCTTCATTCAGAGCCCCGGCTAATTAACAGACCTTGTGAAGTTGGTTGCATAACAAAACTTGAATTCTCCTTGTTTTTTCTGTAAAACCTTTAAGGATTTAAGAAAAACCGCAAGACTTGATGACATGCTAGGTTGACTTTTACTCACATAAAATGAGAGAAAGCCTTAACCACAAAGAGTCGAGCCATCAACGAAATTTACTAGATTTATACCATAAAAGGAACATCGCAATTTGGAAAATGTTCATGGAACAATTATTTTACCTTGCAAGCGTTGAAGAAAGACCCTTAAAATTGCTGGCTTGAAAGAGATTTATCGAAAGAAATTATTACAGACTGGGAAAACCTATTAGGCTATCAAGAATCTGGGAGCTGAATGAAAAACTGCAAAATTATGGCAAAATTGTGGGGCTTCAAAGTTTTCTCAGAGATTCGTAAGCGATTCATACCGTAAGCAAAAAAACAAGCTTTGCATTCCCCACGTGGTCATTTGGTTCATCGTTACATTGAGGTTTTCTCAGTCTTTTTACTGCCATATGCTTAGGATATTCATGGGACATGCAAGGGGTATTTATTCACAAACGAAATACCAGCTGATAGAAGTTGAATGTCATGAGGGTTTAACAGTAGATAACAGCTGCGAGTAGAAGTAAAGGTCCAACGCGGAAGGATTTAAATCGCAAAGCTGATGTCGCCAAATTTAGGAGTATACAGATATTTGTACGGCTCTACACATGCGCTATAAAGCATAATTTCCAATTGTTCTGAACTTGACAAAATGAAAAGTAATAGGGCAATCTATGATAAACTACAAAAGAGTCGGTACTGACAAAAAGGACAGTTAATATTTGCGGTTTCTGACACGAACCAGTATATACAGAATCAATTTGTCTAGTGGAATCTGGCGTGGGAAAATCTTTGAAATTTTATTGACATAGAAATTCGACACTGACTATATGCGAATCAAGATTTGTTGGTTAATATCCATTATCCCCTAAGCGACAATCTATTGCCAATCAGTACTAGGTTTTCCTCTGTTCTGCAATCCTATACCCGGCACCACGTGCTACAACCTAGTGATGTCAACTGCCTTTGTTCTGTACGTGAGAAAGAAATTGTTAAACAGAAAGCATGGGTCTGGGAGAGGACGTGATCAGTAGAAAAATACGGCGAAAATCTTGCATTCTACTATTTCGATTAAATGTTTGCCAGCCAAAAAGGGCTGTTTAGATAAAAACCACGGTTTTTAAATAGCAATCGCAGCTTTAAATAATGATTCGCCATTAACCTTGCAAATATATGCACGACCTTTTAGGTCAATAAATCAACGATGAATAATAAATGAACGCTTATTCAATCCAATAAAAGCAAATATTCAAATCTCTGTGGAATATGCTAGAAGTGGGGAAGTTTCAAAGCGAGGTACTATGGTCATTTCCAGCCACAGGGGGGAGGGAGCACTTGAACTTTTTATATACGGGGATAGTCCATAATCCCGTAATTACGAGTAAGAATTTTTCTTGTGATCTAAGATTTCTGGGTACATGATTAAACAATATACCTTCTTTATACTAATAAAGTTGATATGTTGTAACCAACACAGAAAAACAAGAATAAAAAAGAAATATTGTTTAACCAATTGTTACACAGAATGCAACAGATAGATGTGCATGCTAGTGTTCTCGCTATTGTGCATCTCCCTTCCAAGCTCTGATGCCATGAAATAAGTTGTTTAGATTGTTTTTCTAGGTGGAAAATGTCTAAATTTATATGAAAGTAGCTTTTTATCTGCTCAGCAACAAGTTTTTGCATTTTTGTGTCTCCTCGAAAGTTTCTAGTTGGTAGTTATCGGTCGCAAAAATGTGTTTGACGCATTTACTTGTTTTACACATTCAGCAATTTATGTACCCATAAGAGCTAATAGAATTTTCCACGGCATTTTTCCATCCAGTTTTGTTGACAGAAAACGAAGTTTCTCGGACACCTTTATCCAGGGGCGCACATTTATCCAGGAAGTTTTTCGGACACCTCTATCCAGGGGCGCACATTTCAATGAAGCTTCAAGGGATGCTTCAATATTCAGAACCGACTTTTGGCACACGATTTTCTGGACCTGCTTACCAGGAACGCCTGCACAAGATTAGGGCAGGAGGAGCAGTGTTGGTGCTGAGGGCAAATCGTAGAATTTTTCTACTAACACAATCGAGTACTCTGGATGGAGGAGGGGCGAGGGTGGGGTAACATAACAAAATATTAACATTGATATGTGCCATCCATACAGCTTGGGTTTTTTACCATCAAAAATTCTAAACATAGAGAAAATGTTGACAAAATCATCCAAAGATAAAAGTAGGGTATTAAATGCTCTTGTCACTATTCACAATATTCGGTTTTATACAAACCATTGCTGTTATAAATGGGCTGGTTGTAAAATTTTGATTGCACGCTAAGTTTCAATACCGATTTATCCTCCTTAGGTTCCTGGAGTACTTCTGAGGAAACAAGTCTTTTACCATCTATTATCTTTGTCGCTCTCCCTCTTGTGGTTGGCCTTGTCACAGACAGACTTTTCAACCTTTTGTGCTGGTGTTATCCTCTTTCTAATATTTTCTAACAGAAATTAACACAACGAGAGTGGCCAAAGTGGTCATCAATTATCGATAAGATTCTATAATATTTTCTTATGTTCCAGGGCAATTCTTGCCCCCTCTGCACCTCTTCTAAGAGAGCAGGAGGAGCAGCTGCCCCTCCATATCCCCCCCCCCCCCCCCCCGTTGTAGGCGCCCCTGCTGCTTACAATACGAGAGCCATTCAAAATGTTTGATATCAAGTTTTGCCGATTTCATCCATTGTAAATAAATGGGTGAAAATTTCTAGGAGGAACTGGTTCATGCAACCAGCGCTGGAATATTAGATGACCGAAAATGTTGAAATTCTTAGAAGTCAACGTCCTTGAAAACGCTTGACAGGGTCCTGTCTGTAAAGTGAAGCTCTCCAGATTAAGTGAAGTGAAGCAGGTATCTAAGTCCGAAAATTTTGACCTTTTGTGCAAAAAACTTACTATTTATGAATAAAAGGCTTTCATGTTTCGTACTCAAAAGCAAATATTCTAGGAAATACTAGCTCTCTATAAAATCTGCTAAAATTATGAAGAAAAATTAGAGACACCTTGTAACTCAAACCTAAAAAAAAGAAGATGTAACTATTCACCATTTAAACATAAATTTTCAAATATCCGAGGTTGTTAAAAGACTTAAAAGATGGAGAGCAGGGAAAAACTTGTAAGTGCCACGCCATTTTGAAACGTTGCAAACATCGAAATTCAAATTGCTACCAATCAGGCTTGTTTCTTGAAAAAGCTTTGTTCATAAGCTGGAGTTTTTTAAAGAAGTGGCTCACTCGAAGAGAAGTGGCTCAATCTGATTTCAATAACTTATTTTCTTTGGTATAAGATCATTTATTATTACGATTTAGATCAAAACTCCATAAACCTCATCTTGTGGAGCGATAGGGGTCCCAATTTCCAATCTTAATGAATTTTAAGGTGGTTTCCCCCCTAAATCAACTTTTGACCACCCCTAACCAAAATATTTGTTTATATTTGTCTATAACTCTCAACAACAACACCGGCTGCTCCACATTGTCCAATACGAGCACAACAAGATTAAGTAAACATCAACGTCTTAATACTGACTATAACGGTATATTAAAGAGAGATAAATAATCATTTGCACTAAAACCTTTGCCGGAGATCGAATCACAGACAGCGATACAAAGCAATTCCAAAACAAAAGGTATCTTTTTGGTCAAAGTAATCCTGGCCTTCTTTGAAAGGTATCAAGCGCTTACCCTTAGAAAATGCCCTTCAGAAGATTCTATGAGAAATATATACTGCTAATAGATGGCACGCACGAGCGGGGAGATTTGCAGAATGGAAAGGAAGGTTGCATGTCAGATTAGAGGCAGTGGAAGAAAACCAAGGAAATCGTTTTCACTCACGTTTTGCGTGCCAGCACGGATAATATCGGCACGCCTGTCGGCAGTCGAATTTTTTGGAATTTTAATTGGTTAAAGCCACATACGGTATCATGATGGTGAAGAAGACAAAACGCCAGGCTGGAAAGAGAGACAAAATAAAACACGAGGGTTGCTTCTATTAGATAATTACCACGAGGCTCGAAGTAGATAGTGAAATTGGAAAGACGAAAGACGAAACGTTGAACTGAAAACGCATACAAAAACTAAAGAGGATTTGAAAATAAAATGATATCAGTAATGGAACGCAAAAAAAACTGTCTGTCCTCAAGACAAAGGAATCAAAGGAAATTCCAGTGACGTAGAGCATCTTATTTTTTGGTCCTATTGGTTTATTTCAATAAGTGAGAAGTTCTCCAACAATTTGCAGATAAAAATGCTTTTTATAAAACACTGTACTCTTCACTGGGGTAGAAACAGGTTTAAAAGCTGGGGACATTACAAAATGTCCATGGGCATCAGATTAAATTTTATGGAGATGCAAAACGGGTAATCTTAAGGGGAAAAAATATTTTTGGAAAAAAATGGGGGCTTGCAACACTCATCTTGATCCTCAGCCTCTGTTACTGAAACCTATAAAGGTTTACACGGTGCAAGGATGGCTCAGTGGTTAGGCTCCCTGACTACAGCCCCTACTTTACCAAACTATCTGTATTTCTACCGTAGGAATCACAAGGTGTGGTCAGACCTCTGTATTTCTACCGTAGGAATCACAAGGTGTGGTCAGACCTCTGTATTTCTACCGTAGGAATCACAAGGTGTGGTCAGACCTCTGTAATTCTACCGTAGGAATCACAAGGTGTTGTCAGATCTCTGTATTTCTACCGTAGGAATCACAAGGTGTGATCAGACCTCTGTAATTCTACCGTAGGAATCACAAGGTGTGGTCAGACCTTTGTATTTCTACCGTAGGAATGACAAGGTGTGGTCAGATCTCTGTATTTCTACCGTAGGAATCACAAGGTGTGGTCAGACCTCTGTAACTCTACCGTAGGAATCACAAGGTGTGGTCAGACCTCTGTATTTCTACCGTGGGAATCACAAGGTGTGGTCAGATGTCTGTATTTCTACCGTAGGAATAACGAGGTGTGGTCAGACTAATAGGAAGGACCACGGCACTGCTCGATAAACACAGCCAATCAGTGTTCTAAAATTACTTTGATACAAACACCTTAAATTTTTTCCTGATGTAGCAGTTCTTTCAAATATCAATGCTACTCGAATCTGCGTACAGTATTGTTGAATACGAGTGGTATAAGCTACGGTATATCTAGAATATGCAATATTATTTTGTCCTGGAAAACTTGTACCAAAGAAGCCATAGTTGAACAAAACAACAAGCTAAAACCTCATTAAAATTCGCTGACCTAACTTTTCCTCGAAGAGTGTTCAAGGACGCCTGCTGTGACGCCAAATCTGTGAGTCCTCTTTTCTTTGCGGAAAATTTGATAAAGCAATTAAAAATTGTACAACGTTATATCCGAATAAATTGCGGACAGAACCTTTCTGACGAGAAAAGTTTGGTCAAGAAACTTAGGCAAACAAAATTTTAGATGTTTAGGACAAACAATATTTCGGACAAAATTTTGATTATTATTTTAAACCCGCATTGATAGATTTTATAATTAAACCGAAAGCTTTTGGTGTTTTTGGGTGATTTCATGCCTTTGGGTTACAAAACGTGATGAGTATAAAAAAATTCTTTTGAAAGATATTTTTGAAAGATTGTCCACCCAAACAAAAGACTGCATGGCAATAAAAAATTCCAAAAATAAAACTCACTAGTTCGTTTTTACTATTTCTTCAATATAACCAGCAAAATGCAATAAGACGCCCTTCGTCCCAGTGGGACACAACACCCCAGGATAAAGTGTGTCACCCTAATATGCCCTTCCCTGTTAATGTGCCCCTCTTGGAAACAGCAATTAAATGTTTATGACATGATCTTCCTTCCAGAAAAATTATCGTTTGGCCTTAGTGGTCTGCGCACATTCTTAGAAGAAAATGACAAAGAACTTAAAAAAAGTTTATGATTATGGGAGCAATTGAAAACTCGCTGCAAAAAGTCAGACAACACACTACATAAAACACTGTTCCGCACCTGCCTGCAGTTGAAATTGTGCAATCGATTAGAAACAGTGCGTTGGAATAATGCCTTGGTCCTGGATACATCTCTAAAAATGGCCGACTAAACAAAGGTATTTTAGCTTGCAATAACCTTCAATGCTCTTTGCTCCAGTGGCATTGGATAGATTTAGTCTCATTGCATAGATTTAGTCTTAGGCTCATTGCAAGCCCAACCCTGAAGAGTAGACAACTAAAGAAAACTAGAACAACCACTGCCTAATATATTTGCTACTTCTTTTAAAAGTGGTTGTTTGCAATTTCAACAACCTCTTGTCGATTTGCTAAATCAAACGGCCGTCTGTCAAAACATATTGAAACAAAACAAAAGCTTCTAGAAGTTTCTTGCTGCAACGGGGAGTACCCCTTCGCTATGTTCCCACGAGCACGCTTCAGCTCAGTTTGATGCTAAATTAAGTAGTTTTGGGCTTTATTGTTACATTGTTTGTTATACTATGAGCGATTAGAACTCCAGCTCAAAATCGTGTGCTGATGGCCCCATATAACTAAACAAAAAGGCGATACTAAGAAGGGTATACAAAAATATAAAAAAATCACATATAATCCGTTTTGATAAAGCTACAGTAAACAATCGTATGTGGTCTGTCAGCTGTTCGCTGTAATACGATTAACTTCGGCTAATTTTTATAAGTTTACAACGGAAGGTAATCAAGCATCAGCTTGACAAACTAATCCGCTGCTTTATCTAAAGAGAACGGTTTAATTAGTTTGAACCAAGCTAGCCCCGTCAGCCACCAGTACAATGCCATCAAGCTAGGTTTGTTACAGAGCTGGGAAAGAGGTAGCGGTACCACAACTGATTCTCATCACTAAAAAACTAGTCCAGTCGCCTAATATAACTAAACACTTTGCCTTGACCATTTCCATACACTGTTTTGTATTTTCAATAGCAATAGAGAATGCTACCCAAGTTTTGGCTTGCTTTTATTCAAGAGACTGATTAAACTGTATCTTTACCAACTATTTGGGTCTCTCAATACATTCAAGAAACAACCTTCATTCAGCGTTCCATAAGCCAACAAAGTATCAAACCATCCAACATTTCGGCAAATATTTTTCCTATCTCTATATCGATAAGCTTGAGAAAATTTTACACTCAGCTTCCTAACGCAATATTTCTCCAGGCGTGCTGTATTGGAGGCTTACTAACGACAAAATGGGATGGTCAGTAGTGACCATTATCTGAAGGGGCCATTCTTGTTTTGCTTCAACAAGTTATATCAGAGCTGTAAAAACTTGCAACATTTTATAACACTGAGGCTGTAGAACATATTGGCTACATAGATAATGAATAGTAGGAGACCCAGTGTTGACCCTCGTAGTACAATCGAGAGGTGAATCCATTAAAGTCAAACTGCTGTGATAATGATAATGAATAAAAGGAGACCCAGTGTTGACCCTTGTAGTAAAATCTTGAGGTAAATCCATTAAAGTCAAACTGCTGTGATAATGATAATGAATAGAAGGAGACCCAGTGTTGACCCTTGTAGTACAATCTTGAGGTGAATCCATTTAAGTCAAGCAGCTGTGATTATAACAATGAATAGGAAGAGACCCAGTGTTGACCCTTGTAGTACAATCTTAAGTTAAATCCATTAAAGTCAAACCGCTGTGATAATGATAATGAATAGAAGGAGACCCAGTGTTGACCCTTGTAGAACATTTATGTGGTGAATCCATTGGTATGTGATAATGATTTTGTATTCCAGTTTTTCCAGCCTTCAATGAGATAGAATATGCCACAAAGAGAGTAAAATATTCTCCTGAAACAACATTTGCACTTTTAAAGGTTCTGATAACACAGAAGGAAAGCGCAGTCGTTCAATGGCAATTCAAACATTTATCGTGATAGGTCTATAATTTCATTTCTTTATCAAAAAGATCTTTTTTATTGTTGATATAGAAGTAAATACTGCCTTGCATAAGAATAGAGCTAAGATGTCTTATGAAGCACAAATAATAAAAAACTGAAATTTGAAGAAATTTGGCACATTGCATTTGTCATATCATGTCCCTCTCGCAATCCCTCACTTCATATCGGTCTAAAGCTCATTGCTGTCATATTTAGTGAGCTACTTTTAGCTTATTAACATTTCTAACATGTGCTCTCTATTTTTGCATTCTTATATGAGCTTTTTATCAACTTGGCACGATAGCGTGAAACAATTCATGTTGGTGCACAAAATTTTCCCTGCAAACCAAGTAGCAATTTTGTCCTCTCCTATTGTGTGTCGTAAGACCTTCGTAAAATTGTTTGAAGTTTTAGTTCATGAGTGTCGCAAGGCTTTCTGGAAAACATTGAAAAAATCCCTGTGCTTTAATTTTGCAATTTTATCAGAAAATTTTTCATTACTTATGTCCATTGTAGACTAATGAGATATGATTTTTCAATCATTTTCCAACCACATTAAACAAAAGTTTTATCACTCCAAGTTTCTGTCACACGTGAGAGCACGATAAAAATCATCTAAGAGGTTTTCCTGGCATTCTTCGGCGCAGGGCTAGTCTAAACATCAATAGAACCGTATTTTAAGCTGCCCACACTATCTTATTGTTATTTTATATTTTATTCATCTTTATCTCACTTCTTTTAACTGGAGTATGGTAATTTTTTAATTCTTTTACCCGTTCAATTTTCAATGCTTATGGTCATTTAAGGAAAGAACAAAGCTTTCTTAATACTGTCTTGACATGCTGCGATACTGTTGTTCAACATTGATAAAAGAGAGTCACGATGTGCTTGAAAAGATTTTGAAACAGCATTTAACAGTGACGAATTTAATTTGACAAATGATAATCATAATAATCATCCCTTTTAAATGGTTCTTTATTTCGCGGACTTACAAAGGTGAGATGTGATGAGCAAGGTTGAGGGACCCATCGGTAATTTTAGGCTTGTCGTTAAAATTTTTAGTTAAGATCTTAGCTTCTCGATA